TTGAAGTGTGCTACCTATCTCATGATCACTTGATGAACTAGGTTAGCACTTAGGGTTTCATCAATTTACCAAAACCAAACTAGAGCTTTCAGCAGTAGAGTGAGAAGAAGAACAGGTAGTGCCACTGGAAGGACCAGGCAGACCTGATCCTCCAAAAATTACCCCCAAGCCTGTTTTCTCTTACCAGTGGGTGGGGTAGGACCAGCAACCCTTTGTGACCTAGTTGCACCAAACTTTCTCAAATATTTCTCAAACATTTTATGCAACTCAGTTTTCAAATCAGCATAGTAAGTAGTGTAATCAAGTACCAAAGATATTCAAAAGTAAGTAAATGGAGGACCCTTTGCATACCTCTGAGCTTAGCTCTAGGGTCAAGAATGAATGCAAATGAGTATAAGAGAGGAATGTCCTTCCAATACTTAAGAAATTTATGCTGCATAGGGTACACAAAGGGTCTAAGATTAACATCCCTTTCACATGCATGCAAATGGGTTGCAATCTCTAGAACATGGTGCAGCACAAGAGGACTGGTAGGATAATAAACACCAGACAGTGTAACAGTAGAGTCATAAAATACTTCCAGGAACTCCAATATTTTCCCAGCCACGTGCCAATGGGCTGGAGACAACAGTGCAGAACCATAATTTGAATTTATGAACACAGAAAATACTTCACCAGAACGAACCAAGTGTTTTAGCATGAGATAAGTAGCATTCCATCTAACATCCATGTCTAAGCCAAATTTTCTAGGTCTCATACCTTTAGCTTCACAATGAGTTTCTAAACATAGCAATTCTTTGATTAGAGGAGTTCAAGAAATTAATTGCAATTCTAAAATCCTCTATATAAGGTTTGATTCTTTTTAGTCCAGATTTGACTATCGATTAATAATGTGACAAGCACGCTGTTGATGCACAAGATCGTAATCAGTGCGTGATCATCAAAAGCGTGATCACAACCAAGATAACCAAAGAAAACATAGGTGTCAAAATTTCCATAGCCTTAGCATTAGAAGATGCATTATCTAAAGTGATAGAAAAGATTTTATCAACCAAGCCATACTCCTCAACAACAGATGCAATGGAAGCGAAATGTTTTCACCGTAATGCTTAACTTGAATCAACCTAAGACCAACAATCTTCTTTTGCAATTCCCAATCAAGATTCACATAGTGAGCAACAACAGATATGTAATCCTCTTTAGCATTACCGCACCATATATCGAAGTCAAAGCAATGAGATGCGTAAACATGCACACACGGCTTCCTAATCATAGCACGATGTTCAAAAAATAACTTATCCGATCTCTAGTGGTGGTTCTTCTAGATGATCTAACAAATCTTGGGTTATGAGAATTTTTAATATATTCCTCAAATGCATCAGGTGTCACCAAAACCAAGAGGAAGATCAAGCCTAGCAATCAATCTACATAGTTTAGTTCTAGCAACAACGGGATCATAGTTCCAATTATGCAAAGACCCATCAAGATTAAAAGCTAGTCGAGACCGAACCCTAGAAGCATTATCAAGTTTCATTTTGCAAGATTTTTGGTGCCTAAGAATGTGACCAAATTTAGCAAAGCAGATCTAGCACTCAACACAGTTCTACACATCTTACATATAGCTTTAACACGCACATCGACACCATTAATCTTCTCATAAACCTCCTCAAAGTCACCCCAAAGACTTAGACTTACGCTTACCAAGTCCGTAAACAAAGACCAGAGGAATGAGTACGAGTACCATTACCATCAAGATTACTATTAACACCAAAGGTCTTTGTTGAGTCCACCGTCCCTATCCCGTTGCCCTGCTCGAGACGACGACGTCGACGTCCGATCGCCGGTAATCCCGCGGGTGGCGTCATCAAACACCGCAAAGGGTCACGGCCGTCGTCGTCATGCTCCGGAGACAACCAGACCATGACCAAGTCATCGCCGTTGCCGATCCACGAGGAACATGGCATCGTCGCCTGCGGGTCACACGCCATGGGGCCCTCGCCTGTGGATTCGGTGAACTCCAAAGACCGTTCCTCAACGGTGCGCTGCTACGGCTTAACATGGTGCCATTGCCCGTCGTCTGCCTCACGCCAAGGCTAGTTGACGACGAGGCATCGGCAGCAAACCTGCAAAGAAAAAGAACACGAAAAGAAGAAAAGGATGAGAAAATGATCCCAAAAATAGAATCAAAACACTGAGAAACGTATAGATCTAGGGGCTAGGGTTAGGGTTACGAATGGGGATGGACTTGCCTGCGCCACCAGAGCCCGGCGCCGGAGAAGACGAGGGCCACACAAGGGCAAGATGGGATTAAGAAGGACGGCGTCAGTGCGGCGGCGGAAGAGAGACGGGGAGGCGGACTCACATGTTCATCGACAAACAGAGGAGAAGGAGTAAAAAGGAAGACGAAGAGGGACTGAGGGAGCAGGGAACTCAGGGAGAGGTGATGGAGCGGCGGCGATATCACCGGATCCAAGGATGACGGTCGCACCGACGACGAAGATGGATCGACGAGAGGAGGCGAGTGGCGACGAGCGAGAGCGACGAGCGACCGAGCGGGTGTCGAGTGCGGCGGCGGTTGGGAGGGGAATGGGGTTAGGGTTAGGGTGGGGGTGGGGGCCGGGGGGTCACGGTTTATATATGGGGAGGAGGGGGGAGTTCTTGGGCCGGTGGCCGCCGGCCTGCTTGTCGTTGGGCCGCTCTGGGCCTGCTTGTTATTATTTATGGCGGTCTGCCGTCTTGCGGCTTACAGGGGCCTAGGGTGCGGCCCAAGCACGGCCTGCACCCCCATGCCGTGCCAGCCCGGGCCCATTGACCTTTGGGCCGGGCCGGGCCTAAATAGCGGGCTCCGTGCCGGGCTCACGGGCTTGGGCTTTGTGCCCAGATATAGCTCTAACCTCTCCTTCCTCTCACTCACTCAAATCCAACGTAGCGGGTTGGCCGAACCAAACCTCGTCACTCATCCCTCGTCCCGTCGCGCGCATACCCCACGCGCGGCTCTCTCGCATGAGTGACTTTCCCTCTCCCCAGGCGACTCCGACTCCCTCCCTGACCCACAGCGTCGCGCACCCGAGGCGGCAAGAAGCGCGCAGGCGACAACGCCCATGCCATGGTGCACGCCGGCAATGAAGTCCCGGCCGGCGAAAAATTGCTACTTCGCCATTATCAAGCGTGAGCTTGCTCTTTTCCATCCCTCAAATGGGATTAAATCCGTCGCCATTTTCCAACGACGTACCATCGAATACTACTGACGAAGATATGTACCGTATTTTGATTTTGATTTTTTTTTCGTTATTTCCTTTCCCTTTTTACCCCTCATCCATCCTCGAATCCTCTTTAGAACCGAGGATGGGTGAGGGGTAAAAAGGGAAAGGAAATAATGAAAAAAAAATTAAAATTAAAATATGGTACATATACTGGTCCAGAGTATTCTGATGGTACGTCGTATTTGAAAATGGCAGACGGGCGAATCCCATTTGAGGGATGGCAAAAGAGCTGAAGCCGATAATGGCGAAGCAGCAATTTTCTCGTCCCCGGCGGCCCTCCTCTCCCCCTGCAGCGCACACCCGCGCCGTCCCCGTCCGCCACCCTCCGCCTCGGCATCGGCCCCGCATTCCCCGACGACGACCGCGGCGCCGGATCCCTCGACCTCAAGGAACCCGCCGCCGCGCCTCCCCGCACAGCCTGCGCCTCGTGGGTGCCGCCCTTCGCCTCGGACGCACGCACGCAGGAGGAGACAAAGGGCCGGGCGCGGCTGGCAGGCGTCCAAGTGGGGCGGTCAACGACGGCTGCCTCGCCGTCTCGCCGCCGCCGCCGAGCGGGAGCGGCTCGACGGCAGCGTGCCCAGCGCCGTTACTGGGGCCATCACGGTCACGGACGCGGACTCGGCGGGAGGGGAAGAGGCGGGCCCTCGCGCGCTCCGCGTCAGAACTGGCTCAGCGACGCGCGGGTCCACGCTGTGCCGCCTCACACCTGCTTCGACGTCTTTGCCCCGGAGTCGCCCTTCGGTCGCTCGTTCTCCGCCGCCTCCCTCACCGAGCCCAGCCTCCGGGAGGTATCGTACGACAGCGAACTAACCGAGAGGTATGCCAGGGAGGGGAGAAGCCCGTGCCTGGGGACCCGGCTGCAGCCGAGACCTTCCAACTTCACCACTCTCACTTCAGCCTTCAGAGTAAGCCACCTCCCCAGTACGCTTTATTCTTGCAAAATAATTTCCTTTCCTCTGACAATTAGTAACACCGGGTATCATCTTTTCTTCTCAAGGATTACTGAGCATTATTTTGGTGTAACAACTGTCGTCCAAACATTTTGGTGGTTCTGTGTGTATTTTGCATGTTAGTATGCAATTGTGTACTAAGGGGTGGCTGCCCCCCACTCTACCTATAGTTGTGGACACTGTGGAATTCAGATTAATGTTTCTGATTTAGTTCCTCGGACATAATGAACTTATTATCCTTTTTTTGAAGAGATATTGAACCGAGAGTAAGGCAACATTAGCTTACTGATCTTGTGATCCACATGTCTAGATATTCTTAAGTCGTTTTAGCTCATAGATAGACCATTTTTTTTCTTCCCTCCTTTTGCTTCCATCGTCATGGACTTTTATACACTTGCTTGGTCAGCGTGGTTTTCTGAAACTTTCGCAAGCGTTGCCGGAAGAATTTCCCGATGCTTTAATTTCACTGCCTGCACAAATTTTCTTGACAGTGAAACTTTTTCAGCTCACGAGTATTCTCCCAGTTACATTACCATCTTTGCTGGCTAGCTAATTCCTGCCCTTGTCTTGCTCCAGGAGTACGTGTACAACAGGCTTCAGTTCAGGTGACCTTGTGACTGCACTACAATGCATGCATGCCTCCATCCGTACCACCTGCAAGAAGTGCAAGTGATCACTTGCTGCTATGCATTTCTGAATTGTTTCGCCATATGCCTGCAGCTCAGCTGGCACTTCACGTTTGTGCAGGGGTTCGTGAAGCAGATGGTGAACCAGGTCGGCCGTGCTCATGGGCTCCAATGGCCTCATGAAGGCCTCACTCACCTTCGGCCTTCCTCAATTACCCCACGCAAATCATGTTCAAGTCAACCAAGGTAAAATTGGCCCCCTTCCTTTTTTCACTGTTCCCCATACGCTGGAAAATATAATACTCTAAAAAATGTTGGAAGAACAATGCCCAATGATTTCTTTTTCATCTGTACCTTCTATTCAGGGTCTTTTTGTTTTTGTTTTAGTAGAAATACAATTCCTTTTTGCGAGGAAAAAGAAAAAGAAATATAGTTCTTGTGATATTACAATGAAGTCTGAAAGACGGAAACTTTGAACACAGTTAGCCCAAGCAGTAGGAAAAGAATCAAATACGCCATGCTCTTTTATTGAGATAATACACCCCTTTTTCATCCTCGACATGATGTTGGTTTTTGGTCCAACCCCTTGTCATCATTAGTCTGACCATTGTCAAAATTGTGGTAAATTTCCTTTTTGTTCATCTTATCATCTACTGCAACCTAAAACCGACTCCTTTTCAACAGGCAAAGCTCGTGCATATAAAAGCCTTCAGGATAGCTCGTATTGGGCTAAGGTGCTTTACTGCTTTGTTGATCATGTAAGCACATGCCGGGTGATTTTAGCATATGCCCGCAGTGGTATTCTAATATTCATCAATGTTCAAGACATGATCCTTTTGTATCGGTCACTGATTGATGCTTGCAAGATTTACAGGTGGATCAATTTTCTTTTGATGTATTTTGGATGGTTTGGTTGAAATAACAATATTTATTCTTCAAATTAGAGATAAAATTATCTTTCGCTCAATGTTTTGCTATAACGGTATAATTGTAGACTCTCATATATTTTACTGTGACAACAATATTTGGTTATACAATATATAAGATGTGAAAAAGAGGGAACATCTTGAATCCGGTATTTAAGGAGTTGAACCAGGATTTCTAAATGCCTTTCTCTTCCTACTGTCTACTTCCCTATTCGGCATCTATTCTCGAGTGGTAACTGACAAGTTGCAGATATACAGTTTACAGTACTAAATTAGATATGTCTGATCCTGAAGGCTGGTTTCTTTTCTCTTTTGTGAGGCATATTGCTGCACTTTGTTGACTGTTCTTCCTTCATGATTTGCAGTTCGTGGCAGGGAGACACGCTATCTACTCTCAGGAAGTGCTGATGGTTCTACCATGGCTTGGAATATTTGGTTCTGGCAAAGGAGAGGTAAACTTTATTATGTATTTGGATGGTATTGTTGTTATTTGGGAGATGGCAATTGAGCCCACCACCAGTGGTAAGATTGCTTCCTTGTGGATTGGCAATATTACTGTTAGGAGTCTAATCTTTTGACATGCTGGTTTAACTATTCAAACTCTAATTTTTTTATTTATGATTTTGACGGTTCTTGGGAATGTGCACTGCATTTGTACCTGTGATGATGGGCAGTGACCAACCTGTATAAAAAGGAAAGCAATTGGTCACTTTTCAGTATTTTATTCTATGACCAATATCAGGCCTTAGCTAAGGAATAACAAATCTTATGTTGCCTGCTCTGCATCTGAATTTTTTACTCAAGGTTATGAGATGGATACAGATTAAAAGCTTTTAAAAAGGAAGGCAACCACAACAACTGATATGCTGCTGCTCTCTGCCCCTCACCGATCGGAGGTTGTACGTGTGGACGATCGGTGGGCGTGGTTTGAAGGCTGATCGGCGGCGAGGAGCCAGCGATCGTGAAAGGAGGAAGAACGAGGTGGCGGCTAGGGTTGGACTCCCGGCTCCCTACAGGAAGCCGGAAACAATATGTTTCTGCTTAAACCGATCCAATCGTCTTTACAACTATATATCACTTCTCTTTTCTAAAAATAGAAATACGCTTCTAATAATAATAATAGTTCTCTAATAATAGGAAACGTCCTGGGCCGTGAGGCCTTCTCCTGCATGCGCCTGCTAGCTTCTCCTGCATGCGCCTGCTAGCCACGAGCAGCCCTCCTCTGATATTGAACTCCCGTCATAACATCTCTCCCCGCCTCGGCAAACAGCTCGTCCTCGAGCTGCACATCCGGGTAGAGAGTCTTGAAGTCGTCCAGGTGCTCCCAGGTGGCGTCGTCCTCCGGAAGGCCTTGCCACTTGACGAGGATGCGCCACACGCCGCGACGGAGCTAGGCGCGCAGGACCTGCACAGGGGCTGGCAGCAGTCTCCCGTCCTGAACCGGTGGCAGCACGGCCGGTGTTGATGGTGGTGAGCCGGCGTAGTTGTAAGGCTTTAACAGCCCCACATGGAAGACGTCATGCAGGCGCGCGTCCGCGGGAAGTCGGAGATGATAAGCCACCTGCCCGATGCGCTCGACGATCTGGAACGGCCCGGCGTAGCGTGGGCGCAACTTGCCCTTGGACGGCAAAGCGAGCGCATGGGTGGGTCGGTGGAGAAGTCGGAGCAGCACCCATGCGCCCACGTCGAACTCCACCTCGCGATGGTGCTCATCGTAGTGGCGCTTGGCGTACTGCTGGGCCTGAAGAAGACGCTCGCGAACCTCCTCCAGGAACGTGTCGCGGTCCCGCAGCATGGCGTCCACCGCCTCTGTCTGGGCCGCCCCGGCGTGGTGTGGCAGGAGGGGTGGCGAGGGTCGGCCATACACAACCTCGAACGGCGACGCTCGGAGCGCCGTGTGGTACGAGGTGTTGTAGCAGTACTCCGCCCAGGAGAGCCAGTCGACCCACGAACGAGGCCGATCACCTGTCGCACAGCGCAAGTACATCGCGATGATCTTGTTGACGACCTCGGACTGGCCGTCCGTCTGGGGGTGAAAGGCCGTACTGAGCCGCTGCTTGACACCTGCACATTTAAAGAGATCGCGCCAGAGATTGCTGGTGAAGACTGGGTCGCGATCGCTGACGATGGAGCTGGGGAAACCGTGCAAGCGCACGATTGCGTCGAAGAAGGCACGGGCGATGGAGGCGGCGGTGTAGGGGTGGCTGAGCGCGATGAAGTGGGTGTACTTCGAGAAGCGGTCCACCACCGTCAGGATCACAGACTTGCCGTGCACCTTCGGCAGCCCCTCGATGAAATCCATGGAGATATCCGCCCAGACCTGCGACGGAACGTCCAAAGGCTGAAGGAGGCCGACCGGCTGTGTGGTCGGCGTCTTGTTCCGCTGGCACACGTCGCAGGAGCGGACAAAGTCGTGCACCAACTGGCGGTCGCCGGGGATGTAGAAGTCCGCGCGGAGGCGCACAAGGGTTTTCTGGACCCCCGTGTCCAAAGGTGAGCCAGTTCACCACCGTGGCGCAAAGTCGTCGATGGCGAGCACGTGAGATGCGCTTTGCCGTGGAGGAGGAAATCGCTCGGTGGTACGCCATGGCTCACCTAGAGACGACCTCCAATTGCTTCTGCAGCAGTCGCGCATGACGGGCTCGGCGGCCGCGGTGGCGCGGCGGATGTCGGTGTAGAGGTCAAAGGAGGGCCCCGAGAGGGCACAAAGCGCCGCAGTCTCCTCGTCGCGGCGGGACAGCGCGTCGGCCGCCGAGTTGAGCCGCCCGGGGCGGTACTCGACGGTGAAGTCGAACCCGAACAGCTTTGTCGAGCCACCGGTGTCTTGAGGGCACGGTGGACCGTACCGGTCCAGTCCAGGAACTTCAGTCAGTAGTGGTCGGTGCGGACGAGGAACCGACGCCCCTACAAAATCTGGGCGCCAAGTCTTGGACGGCTTGCACCAACCCGATGAGCTCAAGCGCTCGAGGCCGCCAACTTGACATGGCGGGCGGCGAAAAGGTCGATCAAGAAAGCCAGGGTCCCCCACGGTGTAGAACGGCGCCAAAGCCGGTCTTGGACCGACGTCGTCAGAAGTCGACCACGAATCGGCGCTTCAAGTCGGGCATCTGTAGAACCGGCGCCGACGAGAGTGCCCGCTTGTGGCGGCGCGAGGCCTCGTCCGCCCGCCGCCGAGATTTAACGCCTCCTTCCGCAGGAGACGTGTGAGTGGTGCCGCGATGGAGCCGAAGTCGCGGATGAACTTCCTGTAGTAGCCGGCGAGGCCCAGGAAGCCACGCACCCCGCGTGGAGAGCGCGGTAGCGGCCACGAGGCGACCGCGGCCACCTTGTCGCTGTCCATGGCGACGCCGTCGGCGGTGATGGCGTGGCCGAGGTAGGCGACGGAGAGGGCCCCGAAGGAGCACTTCGACCTCTTCGAAAAGAGGCCGTGGGCTCGTGGGCGGTGAAGACGAGGCCGACATGCTGCAGGTGCTCGCACCACGACGTCTTTGTAGATCAAAATGTCGTCCGAAGAAAACCAAAGACGAACTCGCGGAGGAAGGGGGCGAGCACGTCGCTTCATCAACGCTGAAATGTCACAGGGCGTTGGAAACCCAAACGGCATCACCGAACTCGGCGTGGCCGTGGTGGGTGCGAACGCCGTCTTCTCGATGTCCGCCGGGTGCATGCGCACTGGTGGTACCGAGCGAGGTCGAGCTTGGTGAAGTATTTGGCCCGTGGAGCTCGTCGAGGCTCTCGTCGACCACCGGATCGGGAACTTGTCCTTGGACGTCGGCCGTTGAGCGCGCCAGTAGTCGATGCAGAAGCGCCACGACCCATCCGCCTTCTTGACGAGGAGCACGGGTGCCGAGAACGGAGAAGTACTAGGGCGGATGATGCCCTGCTCCAGCATGGCGGCGCATTGCCGCTCGAGCTCATCCTTCGCAGAATCGAGGGTACCGGTGCAGGCCGTCGCATGCCATCGGCGCGGTCCCGGGCAGCAGGTGGATGCAGTGGTCGTAGGGGCGGGCTGGTGGAAGGCCGCGCGGTGTGTCGAAGACGGCGTCGTGCTGAAGTAGGAGCTCGTCCAGCAGCGGGTGGTGAGGGTCCGAAACGACCACGCCAGCCGACCATTCTTTGGGAGGGCGCGCCCGGGGCGCCCACACACCGCCACGTGACGCGGCGGCCCTCATGCAGGAAGGACACGGTGAGCCCCTCGAAGTCCCAAGTGAGGGGGCCCAGCGTGCCAAGGAAGTCGACGCCGAGGATGAGGTCGAAGCAGCCGAGTGCGAGGCCGACGCAGGTGATGGAGAAAGGCGCCCCGCAGATGTTGACGGGCACGTCGCGTGCGATGCCTTCACACGGCACGCGCTTCGCCGTTACCACCGTAACGCCGGTCGGTCGGCCTCATGCGGAGCGAGACCAAGCGCCCAGCATGGTCGCGCCTGGAGGAAGGTGTGGGTGGAGCCGGTGTCCGTGAGGGCGAGGAGGCGCCGCCTTGATCGCCACGGCGAGAGCATAGTGTGGAACGTCCGGATGCTCGCAAGAGCGTGTACCGAAACCACAAGAGCGTGAGCGTGAACATCCGCCGCGGCGGCGGCGTCTTCGGGCAAAAGGCAGCGGCCGCGTCGTCCGCCTGCCCGCTCCTCGTCGTCGTTGAGGAAGTCGTCCGCCTCAGGGAGAACAAAGGGGCACACGTGCTCACGCACGCATCGCATCGCTCGTCGCAGTTGTAGCAGAGGCCCTGACGACGGTGTTCCTGCATCTCGGCCGGCGAGAGCGGCGATGCAACCGCCGCGGGTGCCGCCCGGCTCTGCGCGCCCGGCCTGCTGCCGCAGCCGGCGGCGGCGCGGCGCAGTGTGCCGGTGTGTTTCCAGCCATGGATCATGATCGCAGCCGCCTGCTGGCGTGGGGAAAAGGCCGGCCGCGGGGGGGGGGGCGCCCGCCTTCGCCGAGGGGGTGCTGCCACGGCTAGAGCCCGTGTCTCGAAGGCGCGGGCGAGGAACATGGCCGTCTGGAGGTCGGGCGGGGCGCGCATCGCGACGTCGACCCGAATGTGTTCCGGGAGGCCGCCGACGAAGAGCTCCGCCTTTTGGCGCGTGGAGATGTCTCTAGAGTGCGCCAGCACCGTCTGGAAGCGGTCCGCAAACTCCTGGACCGTGGAGTGGAAGGGAAGGCGCCTAACTCGCCACCATGAGCCGTATATAGGCGGTCCGGCGAAAACGGCAAAGTTCCTTGAAGCGCCTCAGACGACGGCATGCCCGCCCAACCAGAGAGGGCGTAGTACCATGTCTCGAAAGCGGCGCGCGGGAGGTGGTAGGAGGCCATCCACGTCCGCCGCTCCACCGGCGCGCTGCCCTGTAAAAATTGTTCACAAGATGTGTGAGCCAATTCGGCTGGTCGACCGAGCCGTCGTACGTCGCGAAGTCGATCTTGTAGGTCCGAGGCTGGAAAGGCGCCGCGCCGAACGCCACGGGCGCGGCAAGCCAGGGCGCCCGCCGAAGCCCGAGCTGCGCAACCGCGCGACCGTAAGGTGGAGCCGTGGAAAAGTGGGCCGTCAACGCCGCCATAGAGCGTTCTGACGCCGCACGCCGCCCCATGGCCGGCTTCGGCCATGATGTGAGGGGTCGGCCGGGACCGGCGATGGCGCCCGGCGGCGAGGAGTACACCGGCGGCGCGATGTCGGTGAGCCACGGCGAAAGCGGGGACGGCGAGTGGGGGAACTGGATCTCCTGGATGGGAACGCTGTCGTGGGAAACCGCCGGTGCTGGCGCGGTGGTG